GATATAGATATAGATATAGATATAGATATAGATATAGATATAGATATTTAATTTGCGAATCGATTCGAAGCTTAAAACAGATTCGGACATGAATATGACTTTAATTTATAGATCTCCTATACATATGTACACATACATAAGTACCTACATAAATACGTAAAAATTGATGTGACTTTTATTTTTGTTTTAATGTGTGTTTAATAGAACTAGCCGAAGGCCCCCTACGCAGAAATAATTTCTGCCTAGAAAGGTGTTGTGTTTGTTTGAATACGCAATGAGAGAAGAGCCTTTCTTTGAAAATATCACATGGCGAAAAATCAAAATTAAGCAGACTTCGCTACCAAGCCCTGTAATGCGCTGCGTCGGGTATTTGCTTGCATGCAAAGTCCTTCGTCTTTAAGTGACAGCTCTTGTGTTATGCATTGCATTGCAATAGCCTGATCCAATACTTTTCGTGTAAAATCCTGTAAAAATGTCAAACAGCAAAATTACTCTCTTAAGTGGGAATAAAAAGTGAGTAACAACTAAAAGTACGGGAACAAAAAAATCATTTTTCCAGTAAAAGCCTCAACCAGTGATCGCTTGACATTTTTTCAGGATTTTACCAGAAGAAAAAGTTCGGGTAAAATCTTGCAACTTCATTCTCTACACAACTCTCCAAAAACCGCTCTCATTTACAGGAATTTGGAGTACGGGATCATTTTTCCTGTAACTTCCTGCAAGTTCGTGTAAAAACATGTAAGTTCATGGAATACTGGATCAGAGCTAATGTAACCTTAGCCAGCGGCAGCTGTTTTCGCATTAGTTATTATTACCTTGTCTGATTTGCATAAATCCTTCAAGATTTCCTCCGTAAAATACTTAGTCTTCCCATAAGGACTAGTGCAGTTGCCGGTCGGATGTTCTTCAGTTACAGGCAAGAATTTAGGTTCTCCATACACTGTGGCACTGGAACTATATACAAATTTAAAAACATTGTTGTCAGCCATAGCTTCCAAAAGAACATTTGTGCCGGTCATGTTGTTATGGTAGTATTGAAGCGGTATGCGGCAAGATTCTCCGACTGCTTTAAGAGCAGCAAAATGAGCTACCATATCGATCTTGTGCTGAAATGAAATACATTTGTTAGGTATAAATTTTATAAAGGCATCCACATACTTATGCGATTCTTTCGCAACGAATCCGCACCGTTTTTGATGCTACAGACGTTACTGCTCTGAAAACGCAACTACGCACACATCTGTGCGATTTCATCGCGGCAAAAACTGTCAATTTATAGACAAACAAAAAGTATTTTTCAACAAAAATAAAATTCTTAACTTTTCTACATCAAATATGTTTTGTTTTCTAACGTTAAATTTTTAAAGGAAGAACTGTAAATGTTCGAATAAATCGATGTAGCAAAATCGTACAAGCGTGTGGTTCCTCATTTAAAACTATGGAACAGATTCGCACCGACAAAATCGCGTAGGTGTGTGGATACCTTAATGTTACGTATATGCATATGGGTTTACCCAGAGAATTATTTAAGGGGGTGCTGAATATAAATAAAAACAGTGATATGAACTACAGAATATAGCATTCGTTGGTGGTGTCCAAAGTAATCAAAGACACATACTTAATTTTACTTTTTCGAGCACTGTTTTCGCCACTGTCAAGGATTTTAAATATACCTACAAAACAAAAAAATTTAATACCTAAAAGTAGATTTGAACGCGAAGTCTGTTCTGCCTTTTCCATGTTGGATATGGAAGCAAAGCGAATGGGTCTAGTGGTAAACGAGGACAAGACGAAGTATCTCCTGTCATCAAACAAACAGTCAGCACATTCGCGCCTTGGCACCCACGTCACTGTTGAGAGTTACAATTTCGAGAAAGTAGAGAATTTAGTTTACTTGGGAACCAGCATTAACACCGATAATAATGTCAGCATTGAAATCCAACGCAGACTCACCCTTGCCAACAAGTGCTACTTTGGACTGAGTAGGCAATTCAGGAGTAAAATCCTCTCTCGACGTACGAAAACCATGCTCTATAAGTGACGGCGAGTACCGCAGACGATGGAACGATGAGCTGTATGAGCTTTACAACGAAATGGTCATAGTGCAGCGAATTAAAATACAGCGGCTCCGCTGCCTTGGCCATGTCGTTCGAATGGACACCGATGCTCCGGTTCTGAAAGTATTCAACCCGGAACCCGCTGGTGGTAGCAGAGAAAGAGGGAGGCCTCACTGCGATGGAAAGATCAGGTGGAGAAGTACTTGGCTTCACTTGGCGTTTCCAATTGGCGTCAGTTGACACAGAGGAGAAACGGTTGGCGTGCTTTGCTGAACTCAGCCAAAATCGCTTAGGCGGTTACAGCGCCAAAAAAGAAGAAGAAGAAGATTTGAACATATTCATTTGGTTTAGTTGGACCGTTTCCACCGTCATACAGTGTGTTATTTCCTTATTCTAGAAATTATTAATTAAATTATTTCATATCGCCAAATTTCAAAACAAAGTCAAAAATGTTTTTAGAAATGCCTGATAAATACGAAACAATGACAACTACAAAATTTAAATCAAAGTGTGGGGCCGAACTAGAATTGATTTGGAAGATTATCAGGCGCAATAATATTTAAACGTGTATATTAGAATCTGAATCTCAATGTTTAAGTTGTTGGTGTTATGTGATTTATGCAACAACTAGCTTATACCCGCGGGTTTCACCCCACGCTTTTATACAAATATGAAAAATAATTTAATGATGTTAGATTTTATTTCTGTGCCCATTTTGTTATAGCTCGTTATTTTTTAAGCGAGTTAAGGTATTTAGGCCGTTTAAAACTATGAAATTATAAAATCTCGTCAGCGCGCTAGACATACGAAAGTTTAACTTAAAATGGTTCCAGGTATACGACGCGTGAACGTGTAACCTTCTTGGAGGTGCCACGGCGGGTTCTAATATTTCCAACTCAAATTTAGTAACATGGCCTTGATAAAATACTACTTCTCATTACTGTAGCAAATGCCTCAAGAGAGCTTTAGATTATAAGGCCGAACACGGCTCTCCCTTTTCCATTTAATGAAATTTATTCTGTCAGTACGGCACTTAAAAATAAATCTCCATAACAAATTTAAAATACTTCGAGAGATTTTCTATCCTTCCAGAGATATGTATTAAGAAGCCTTTAGTATGTATGGGAGGCGAAATGCCTCCTTTTTTAATAACTCAAATTTTTTCCATGAGCAATTGACACATTTTTTATACACAACTCCATACCAAGTTCTAGTATTCTTCCACAAAAACTTCCAGGCATATGTGTCAAGAAAAAGTTAATTTGTAGTGGAAGTACCACGCCCCTTTTTCTTATAACCCTAATCTTCTTCCATGAATTTAGAATTGATTTTACATACCCCAGTACCAAGTCCCAGTGATCTACCAGGAACACCTCTAGAGATAAGCAGTACAAAACAGTAAATTTGTACGAGAGGAACCATGTCCCCTTTTTGAATAACGCAAATTTTACTCCATGAGTATGGAAATAATTTTGTATACACATCTCGGTGCCAAGTTCCAGTCCTCTGCAATAAACACCTCCAGAGATATGCAGCATAGAAAAATCAGTTTGTATGGGAGTTGCCACACCACCTTTTCCAATAACTCTCATTTTTCTCCATGAGTATGGTATTAGTTTCACATACATGCATACATATGTATTTGCTTTACCCCAAACATTTGAAGAGATATGCAATATGAAACTTTCAGTCAGTATGGGAGGTGCTACGCCTCTTTTCCAAAAACGTCCATTTTTCTCCATTTCACACAGTGTTGGCAAACTGTTAATCTGAATAACGATTAACAATTAACGATTAAAATGTTAATCGCGTTTGATGATTAAAATTAATTAGTCGTAATCAACTGTACGATTAATGATAACAGTTTTTTAATCGTTAATCGCTGGCTGCGATTCTGTTTAATTAATTTAAAACATTAATCGTTAATCCAATTAAATATAAAATCTGACTAATTTGTTTAGTTTGTCCGAGTTTGAAACCAAACACCAGTTATAGTAATTAGTTTGTGTTTTATGCTTATAAGAAGCACATAATATAAAAAAATAATTATTGTTATTAGTAATACATAAACTGGAAACTTTTACAAACCTAGTTTGTAAAGCGTTTGTTGGTATATATCTTAATTAAAATGCAAACCAAATTTCTTAGATTGATGAGCAAACCCGACTTAGCCATACCAGATTAACTAGCTTTGTGTTCACAGGGAAATTCCAGCATAACTTAATTAATCACCAAACCTACTTGATCAAATTAAGAGTTAATGATTAAAAATTAATTTTTTAATCGCGGTTACGATTAACTGTTTAGTCAGATTAAAATTAATCATGATTAACTGTAATCAGATTGCATTTAATTGAATTAACTAACTGATTAAAACATCAATCGATAAATGCCAACATTGATTTCACATACATATCACTATACCAAGTTCCAGTTCTCTCCCACAAATACTTCCAGAGATATGTATGTAATATGAAAATTCCAATTTGTATGGGAGGGGCCTTTAGTTATCGGACTTACTTTCAGTTTAAGACCATCCTTCCGAAATCCGTAGTAAGTGTACTAAATTTCCTTCTGATCGGAAAACCGGTTAAGGTAGTAGCCTATTTTTCAATCCAGGTCATAAACCATCTTTGAGCAAAATTTCATTTTCAAATAGGTGGCAATTCTTAACAAGTAGCCTACTTTCCAATCTAGGTCATAAGCTATCTGTGTGCAAACTTTCATGCAAATAAGTTCAGTAATTTACGCGTATTAATTTAATTAAACTTTTCTAATACGTGACAGCTCTTAAAATAGTAGCCTATTTCCCAACAAAGGTCATAAGCTATCTCTGTGCGAAATGTCAAGCAAATCTGTTCAGTCGTTTCCGCGTATTAATTTCATTAAAACTTTTTTAACAGGTGGCATTTCTTCCAAAGATTAGCCTATTTTCCACTGTAGGTCATAGCTATCTGCCTGCAAAATTTCATGCAAATCCATTCAGTCGTTTCCTCGTATTAATTTAATAAAACTTTTTTAACAGGTGGCAACTCTTAAGAAAAGTAGCCTATTTTCCAACCTAGGTCATAAGCTATCTGTGTGCAAATTTTCATGCAAATCCATTCAGTCGTTCCCGCATATTAAATAAATTAAACTTTTTTAACAGGTGGAAACTCTTAAAAAAAATAGCCTATTAACCAATCTGACCCTTAAGCTGTCTGTGTACAAAATTTCATGCAAATCCGTTCAGTCGTTTCCGCGTGATGATTTCCCAAACATCCAAACATACAAACTTTCACATTTACATATAATATTAGTAAGATTGCTAAAATACCCATTTTGGTCTTATTATTTTAGATATGTTCTTTTTAATTTTTTTATTGTTATAATATGTATTTTTTTATTGAATCTTTCTTTCGAAACTAACAATAAGTTTCCAAATTTTACAAACTACCATTAAATTTAAAATTTCTGCGGCAATGTGGTTCCTCAACCGTACTGAGTAAATGGTGCTTAGCCCTCTTATGTCCTCATGCACCATATTTACATTAAGATCTTTGTGGATACTAGTATTTTTTATGTAGCACGGTGCTCCGCATATGGCGCGTAAAATTTTCGACTGCAGTCTTTGAAGTCTGTTCAAAATGGATGTGCCCCAAAGCCCAATTCCATATGCCCAATATGGTTTAATCATTATATTAAATATCAGCATCTTATTTTCTAGATTTAATTTATATTTGTGTCCTATAACCCATTGAAGGCTTGCTTGTTTTAGTTTCGCTTGAGAAATTTTGTTTTCTATATGCTTTTTCCAGGTAAGTATTCTATCTAGTGTCATTCCAAGGTACTTGACACTATCTTTTTGTGGTATAGCCTTGCTGTTTATTCTTAGTGGTAGACAAGTCTCTTTCTTCAGAGTAATTGTTGTCTGAACACACTTGCTCTCGTTAACCTCTATCCTCCAAGAACCTAGCCATAGCTTTAACTGTTTCAAATATTCTTGGTTAGAGTTTCACCAGTTGGCAAATCACGAGTGTATATTACGTACAATATGGGTCCTAGAACAC